AGTACTACCTGTCGTTGTGGGAGTCCTGCCAGAAACCCGCCAGCTTGGACATCTGGCACTGCGAGTCCACGCTCAGCAGCGCTGAGGGCCCGGCGCACCGCGACCCCTGCCTCTCGCCCCGGACTGCCTCGCGTCCCACTGCCAGGACAGTCACCACCTGTCCCCACCTCTCCGCGTCCCCTGCCCTGGCCCGTCTCACCGTGTCCAGGCCCTTCTCGGATCCTGGGGCTCCAGCCACCTCCCTGGCCTCCACGCCTCTTCCCTCCACATCCCTGGTCGCCAAACCTAAAGCGACAGCCCACGCCCTCTCCCTCCGCCGTGGCCATTCCTCCTATTCTGCAGTAACACGTAACGCTATTTTGGGTATTTGTTATCATTTGAGGCGAGAGCCATGTGGCTGTGTAAAAAATGCGACGCCTTCCACACCCGCGTTAAAAAAGAAGCAGGCAAAAACTCCCCAACTCCACCGAGATGCTGCGGGGGTTCTCTGTTCGGTCTTCCCCACTCTTTTTTCCCTCCTCTTTCGAGGACGAATTTGCCTAGGTTTACCTCTTAGTGTTCACATTTCTGCCTGTTCCACTCCACCGTATCTGGATTTTCACCAGTTAACTCAGATTGGGATTTTATTTCCTTAAACTTTTGGGAGATATGAAGAGTTGGGAGAGGGAGGGGCTTACTTTCTTTTGTGGTCTTTGATTGTGAGTTGCCCTCCCATCTCCCCAATCCAAAGTACCTCTCTTCTCCAGTCAGACCTTTATTTATTTCTCCTTTGCAAGAGCTGTTCACAGATAGCCTGGGACTTTGTAGCTTATTCGGCCCGCACTAAAAGCTGCAAATGGATCCCCACTGTGGGAGATCCCAGGACAGAGTTGTCTGACATTGGAGCTTGGAGTGGAAGCAAAATGGTATCAAGACATTATTGGAATGATTGTTCAGTTTAAATAGGGATAGTTATTGTATAATTAGATAATATTGTATTAATGTTAAATTTCCTGATTTGCTCATTGATAGTGGTTAAATAAAATAATGTGTTTTCTGGCCAGGGATTACGGTGGCTCACGCCTGTAATCCCAGCACTTTGGGAGGCCGAGGCAGGCAGATCACCTGAGGTCAGGAGTTCGAGGCCAGCCTGGCCAACATGGCGAAACCCTGTCCCTACTAAAAATACAAAAAATAGCCGGGTGTGGTGGTGGGTGCCTGTAATCCCAGCTACTCAGGAGGCTGAGACTGGGAGAATCGCTTGAACCCAGGAGGCGGAGGTTGCAGTGAGCCGGATCGCCATTGGCAACAGAGCCAGACTGTCTCAAACAAACAAACAAACAACAACAACAAATATATATATATGTTTTCCTTTTTTTAGTCAATATACACTGAAATATTTAGGGGTACAGGGTCACAATATATGCAACTTACTCTCAAATGGCAGAAAATATGTATATATGGTAGAGAGAAAAAATGATAAATGAGACAATGTTACAAATTGATGAATACGGGTAAAGGACTTTTCTTTTACTATTTTTGTACATTCTTGCAAATCTTCTGTAAGTTTTAAAGCATTTAAATTTGTCATTAAAAATATTTTTCCCAGGTATAAAGTACTTTTAGCACAATGAATTCAAAGTGCTTGCCTTTTCTGTAAAGGAGAATGATAAAGTAGGATGAAAAGTTATTAAGTGTGTGAAAACTGTTAGATTATCTAAAATTTATATTTCTTGAAAACATACAGTGTGAAAAAACATTTTATGTCTTAAACATATGAACCATATTGAACTCTAAACATTCCATGATATTTGGTATAGATAGTGAACGCTTTCAATAACATTTAGATGACATTTGCAAATAGTACTTTATTCTATTTAGAATATATAATAGCTCACGATTGGTCTAGGAAGGTGAATACCTTAAGACAAAGCCAGTTATGTTAAAACACACACATATATGCATGTTCAACCACACACTCAGAGAAAACTGTGTGAAGCCCTCCCTATTAGAGTGAGACACAAGATGTATTTGTCTTCTAGCACACGTGACATCACTTGTGTAGCATCTAGTGTTATTTTTGTGCTGCCCAGGACTGGATCTTTATACAATGGCTACCTCTGGTAATGCAATTTCCAGCTGTGGAGCAGTTCTATGGAATTTTCACCCCCACCATGTGCTTTTCTATCCGTGCTCTCTTTGAATAGCATGTAGTCTAGAGTAAAGAATGGTGGGCCGGGCGCAGTGACTCACACCTGTAATCCCAACACTTTGGGAGGTCAAGGCGGGCTGACCACCTGAGGTCAGGAGTTCGGGACCAGCCTGACCAACATGGTGAAACCCTGTCTCTACCAAAAATACAAAAATTAGCCGGGCATGGTGGCAGGGGCCTGTAATTCTAGCTACTTGGGAGGCTGAGGCAAGAGAATCACTTGAACCCGGGAAGCGGAGGTTGCAGTGAGCCAAGATCGTGCCATCGCACTCCAGTCTGCAGGACAAGAGCGAGACTTCGTCTCAAAAAAAAAAAAAAAAGAAAAAGAATGGAAGAAGAGTATTCTCTCAGAGTGGGAAGGGAAGTCCAGATATGTCTTTTCTTTTGTATGAGAAGTAAAACCTTTTAAAATACTATCAGCGTCTATTAACTTCCTCCATACTTTGTCTCTCATTAGGCAAAGCAATGATGTTATCTATAACCTTCTAGAACAAAACTTTGTGTGAATCAAATCCTTCCCCCTGGCCAAGGTGATAAATCCTAGCTCAGCAGAGTCCTATAGAAATGGGGCTCTCAAAGACAGTCTCAAAGACACAGGAAAGTGAACCTAGTTCTCCAACCCACATAATATTATTAGTTAAAAGCATCTTCCAGAGTTCCTAACAAGGGTAATTTTTGTTTGTTTGGTTTTGTTTAAAATGCCCAGGCGCATTTTATTAATAAAAACTAACAGTGCCAAGTTAAACAAGTCAAACAATTAAAGTCTCTTTATATTCCATAAAATATTACAGAAAAGTTTATTTGTGTTTCAATAAAAAGACTTTCATTTTAGAACAGGGAGCTAATAGCAACTGTGCAGTTAATGGGTTTTGTGAATAAATTTTAAAAGAGACTACTGCCTGTCCTTAAATTCCTTGTTCTTTTTATTAAAAAAAAAAGAACTATTAAAAATGATTGACAAATTTTGAGTTAAAAAATTGTTAAAATATTCTCTATATTTAATTTCAATTTTATAATAGATTACAGGAAGATGCTTATGAAACAAATACATTTGTTTCAGTACATGTCTTTAAATGATAGACTGATAAGTATGTAAACAGCTATATAATAAAAGGTTTCCAAACGTTACCTGTAAGAAATCAGGCAAATTTTACCATAAGCAATAAACCATTCTAAGCCTTCCAAACAGTCTCCATTGCCGCACCAGCGTGGCAATAAGCTTTAACCAAGCGAAAACAAACAAACAAAAGCACTTTGCAATTTGTTGCTGCAAAATAGGGAGAGAAAAGAGTGTATAAACTTGATGGAATCACGACAGTCAATATAATTTAAGGGAAAATAAAGTTAATAAGGTTGATGGTGTTTATTGTTTAAAAAGTCGAATTCTGCTGTTTGCTTGGGGCTCTGGACACCGTACCACTGAACAAATGGAAAACTCCACAGAGTCTCACTATCTGCCAGTGGGGGCGCCGTCCAAACTCATGGCAAATAAACGGAGTCAGGTGCTCACCATCCACAACAGGAGGGCGTTTTATTTTCATGCATGTGGATGAAATACAATTTCTCCAGCAAACTCAGCAAAAACTGTTCAGGGGCAAAACTGAACTCTGCACTTAAAGAAAAATAGAAAATGAAAACACAAAATACTAAAAAGTAAATAAACACTCTGCGTCAGCACACTGGTATCAAAACACATCCACAGCACGTCCTAAACCTACGGGAAACAATCCTTGCTTATCAAAGGTGCATATCTAAATTCAATAGCTTACCAATGTCTTCTTGGGAGTAGGACAAAAGGGAACAGAAAACCCACATTAAAAAAAAAAAAAAGTTTCTTTTCCCTAAATGTTTTCCTGAAGCGGCATTTGAAGTAGGGAGGGCGTCAGTCGTCCTTGTCATTCTCTTCGAAGTCATCATCCTCCTCCTTGTCCTCTCCGACATAGGACACCGGGGTCTCCGTCCTGGAGCCGCTGTGCTGAGACACGTTGGAGCTTGTGGCCAGCACCCCATCTGCACCGTTGGTCAGGTCACTGGCAGAGAACCTTGTGCCTTTAGACGTGGAACCTGCCGCTGTGATGAACACGCCTCCAACAGTTCCCTGAGCCATTTCTGTCACATACGGCTCCAGCGCCTTTGGGACCAGACTTCGGGCCATTTTAAGGTTTTCAGCAGAGCAGCTCCCGGACTCCAGCCAGCAAGCCATGCCCATCCGCTTCAGCACTTCTATGTCACCGTGGATTTCAAACGTGTTGTCAAAATTAAATAGATACTCGAGTTTGTCGTTGGAGATGCTGCAGTCGATGACGGTCTTCTTGCTGGTGTTGACGATGATGAAGGGCAGGTGGATGACCGAGTTGGGTGGTGGCGGCCGGCTGGCCTGCTGCTCAGTGTGCCGATTTCTCTGCACCAGGTTCTTGAAGGCAATTTGCTGTAGAATAAGTTCTTGAAGTTGAGACTGTTTCTGTTTTATTCTTTCAAGTCTCCTCTGTCTTTCTACCTCTAAGTTCTGACATTCCTGAGCCGAGTTGGTGGGCAGACCAATCCACTTAATCTCCTTCTTCTCCTTGGAGATGATGTTCATGGCCATCAGCACGTTTAAGGCATCATAGACGCGCCGTCTTATGTTCTTCTGGTCATAAGCTGACTCGTTTGGCAAGATGTGGTTGTCGGCAGCACTGAACTCTGCGACCAGCTCGTCAGCCACTTCGTTGTAGGAAGTGGTCCCTTTCCTCTGCACCTTCTCGCAGACCTTCATGGAGAAATGCCGCAGGCCCTTGCAATTCTCTCCCTTCCTGATGCGCTTCCCTGCAGACCGAGGTGAGGAGTCAGAAGGCTGGTTCTGAGAGGCAAAGTGAGTGCTGGGGGGGTGTGGGCTTCCTACCACCAGGCTGTTTGACGCTGCAGGTCTCTGAGGCATACCAATCACCACTTGCTGGGCAATGCTGACATTGGACTGTCCAAAGGCTTTTGGCAAAAGCTGCTTCCCGAGCGGGTTGACTGTGGAGGGGTGAACGGCCACGAGGGACACCACGCCTTTCCCGGGACTAAGGTTCTGATCTATGAAGACCTTGAGTTCTCCGTTGGCTTCAATTAGACCGGCATCTTTTGCCATGTTACCAGATCCGGGAAATCAATGCTACAAATGTTCACCTTCCCAGAGAAGAAAAATGATTTTTCTGG